ATTTTGGACGTCCATTCGTCTATTAAACTCGCACAAACGAAAAAATATAAAAAAAATATTTTCGATAAAATTAAATAACCACAATACCCCTTAAAGTTTTAAGGAGTATTTTGGTCATTATTTTTTATCGAAAAATTATTGTTAATATTTTTTATAGATGCGCCCCAATGAGAAGATGGCACGTACCAAATTTTATATTATAAAAATTGTATTAAAAAAACTAAAAATAAAATGCTTTGAGACGTCGAATCTAAGATCAAACGGTGAGTGGGCTCTCTTAATAAAAAATTGACGGCTAGATGGTAGGGAGAGGATAGAACTTCTATGTTGTAGGGGGGACATAGAAAGCTTTCCTAAAATATAATTAACACTATTAATCAGATCAGTAATTTTTAAATCATTGAGTGTAATTGACACAACACCTAGGGTTGGCAACGGATCCGGACCTGACCCACGACCGGAGGTGTGGACCCGGTCGGGGTCCAGCTATAGGTCCAATAATTCGACCTGGTGGGTTGGGTCCATGTCCAAATCATGTATTCAATAGGTCCAGATTCGATCAGGTCCAATAATATTTTTTGAGTCTCAATATATGAAATATATTTAAATATAGTTAAGAGCGATGATCTCATGCAACGGTTGTATAGTAGTGTAATACAACTACATTAAAAAACAATGCTAGAAACATTTATGTGACACGAATCTTAAAATGTACACTCTTTTCATTCTAAAGACAAATCACAAAAAAAGAAAATTTGAAAAAAAAGCCATAGAAATTGTTTTTCTTGTCCAATTAATATAAGCCGTCCATTTTAGTGAGTTGGTTAGATATAGTCCTCAAAAAGATTTTTTTATTCCCAAAATTTTTTTATGGTGTTATCATCATTAGATTAACAATACTATAAAAGAAAAAAGTGATTTTGAATTTGTTAAGGCCTAGATCTTGAAATTCACTAAATAAACCGTCGAGATTCATTGTTGGAGGGTATTAATTTTGACCATATCTAACGTGCAAGTTGAATTTTTTTTCCTTATCATTGATTATGAGGATGAAGAGAATGTGTACGCAAAATTTAGGGTCATACAAATACCAAAAACATAATTTTTTAAAAATGTAGTTGCATTATACCATGATACAACCATTTCATGAAATCATTGCCCCCGAAACGCAATGTGTCACCTTTATTTTTCACAAATGACCCCCAAATTCCTGACTTTTGCCGCCATATTCTTCCCTTGGGCCCAAATTCATGTCGCTACAAGAAGCTTATAGAATCTTCTAGAAAGGACATATAGTATGACCCACTTGACTTGGTAAGTAGCATGGTCATATGAGGAGCACCATAACATCATTATTTGAACGGTGATAATTGGAGAGTACCAAAGTCTACATCTTATAACAAAATTTAGTGGTGCACCTTATTTTTGTTTAAAATCGCAAACCACATCCTTTTAAAAATTACAATTTTAATAACAATAAATTGTCACCACAACCATACATGTGAAAACCGGTCTTATTTTGGTTTACTTTGGTGTGATCCCTTTCGCGTGAAGCCTCATCAACTCCTCTACTAACCCTTCCAAGTCAACCCTTGAGCTCCCACCGGGCACCACAGCTTGTCGAGCCGCCTCACCCATGAGCCTAGCATGCACTCTCTCAGTCGACCTGGGCTCCATCACTCTAGCCACCGCTCGGGCAAGTGAGCCTGGATCCAGTCCACCCACCTTACCCTCGGTAACTAGCACTCCAACCCTGAGGCCCTCGACCAAAAGACGCGCATTCAAGTGTTGCTCGGCCCCCAGTGGCCACCCCACCATTGGCACCCCAGCCGCAAGGCCCTCCAGCACCGAATTCCACCCACAGTGTGTCAAGAACGCCCCGATGGCTTTGTGCCCAAGCACACGAGCCTGTGGTACCCAGCCTCGAAGTACTGCTCCATGATCTTGTATTGACGACTCGAACCCTGGAGGCAACTCCCAGTGATTGGGCATAACCCAAAGGAACTTTGCTCCACTGGTCTTCAGTCCACTCGCCATTGCATCAACCTAACAACTTTTGATGTGTTTGATTGTGTACATTGAGGGTGAATTTTTTTAGGAAAAATAGGAGGGGTTCTATATTATAAAATAGTACAGTGTAACAATTATTTTTAACAGTCAGATCTGAAATCAGAGACAAAATTCGAAAAAAACTTGTTAGAACTTTACACATGGCTGATTGCAAGTACCGAGGCTTATATAAAATTCGAAAAAAAATCGTTTGAACTTTACGCATGGTCGATTGCAAGCACCAAGGCTTCCATAAAATTCGAGAAAAAATCGTTTGAACTTTACACGCGGTCAATTGCAAGCATCGAGGCTTCCGATTGCGCATGTAGCAGTAAAAGGTTATTGTAAACTTCTTATAACAAAGATAGATGGTCTCATTACACTTTACCAAAATCCTATTATCCATAGGATCAGTGTAATGACTATAAGTCTATAACCATGTGGTCCAATCAACATTTTTTTAGATAACCCGTTCAAAGGACGTTACATATTTAATGTATGATGACCATATGGATCATATTATAGGGCTTCCATTGTCCTTTCGTGGGTTTTTTTTTTTTTTTCATTTTTTTTTTTCTAACAAGAAACATAAAGTTATTCTAATAAGACTAAGTAAAGTGTGATGTGTGATACACCAATATATCCCAATTTATAGAACAGTGTCATTCTAAAGGGATAAACAAAATGTATATATGTCATATCTACTACAAATACAAGATATCATACATCCACCATTTATATTAATCCATTGATGGCTACCTAACTCTGAAGAGGGACCAATTGTATCACCCTAAGAAGTATTTAAGAATGCTTAATAGAGTAGAATTGGTACATAGGGTACAATAGGTATATGGTATTTAAGTTGACCCATCATCTATGTTCACTCTACCAGGTCATAAAATAAAAGGACCCTTTGCAAGTCTTTAGCCACCAACAAGACCCATCTTGATCAAACCTTCTTGATCTCGACTCGGTACATAAACCAAGTCGTTAAACTTCAACTCAAGATTTTATATCAAACAAAAAAGCTTGTCTTGTAAAATCAAGAGGTTTACATAAGGTGTCTATTTTGTACCGTGAGGTGCTTTTCTTTTCTCTTTTTTCTTTTAATGTTAACAATAAATATAAGGAGATAAACTCCAAAAGTACAATTATAGAGAGAAAAAATAGGGAAAATACCCCTACTTCAAAGGAAGACCAACCAACACTCTTAAAATACAAACAATCACTAAATCTCGAAGACCCTGCTCCACCAACAAGCTTAAAGACCCCACTGACCACATGAAGCAAGCATTGCCTATCCCTCTCTAATCCCTAAAAAAGATTGTTTTAATATTGAAAAACCTCATTTGATCATTTCGATCTCGAGATGTATGAATATGAAGAAAAGGATTTCAAGTATTAAAAGTGGCACGTCTTGTAATGCATTCTTTGGTCTGGTCGTTTTCTAGATTTACAAATGTTTATAAATCTGCTAACCCTACCATTTTTGGAGTTCTAAATTTTATTCTTAAGGATAAAAACATAAGAGTTTGGGTAGCAGAACTGCACCTTCGAGTAGGATTTGGAGGCGTGCATTTACTATTAATTGTTTTAAGGTGAGCACCGTATATAAATTGTACCCTTTAGTAAAACCTGAGTATGTAAGCACACTACAGAGAATTCCGACATGGAGAAACCTATTTATTTTTATTGATGGGTTATGTTAGGGTACTCATGTATAAGTATTTTTCTAATGTTCTCAACATTTTTTAACATTCGTTGCCCCTTATTTTGTAATACAAAATTTTTTGAGTAAGAACATTTTTTTGTTATTTGGAGGGTTTGGATAAATATTTTTATAATAAACTAGTAGCATTTTTTTGGCCGTTAAAGAAGTAGTCATTGCTTCATATTGGTGATATCATATCTCATGTAGATCATGTCATCTTCAAATTATAGTTAATAAATTATTCTCTTTCCATCAAAAATTTTTACTTTACCTCATATTAATTATTTAAAATACCCTTAGAGAAAAAAAGTACTATATGGTGAGGTAAGAGTATCGAGTGCCTACAAATTTTGAGCACCTCAAAGAAATACTCGTATATATGAAAAGCCTAACATAATCCTTAATTGATTGTATCTGCCTAAATGATCATATATCTAATAATTAAAATGATTTTAAGATTAAAATATTCATTATCGAATCGATATTGTTTTTTAGCCTCAAACTCCATAGCTAGAGGTAAAAATTGACTTGCAGGCAATAATAATTTTTTTTTAGCACTAAACTGGATTTCTCCTATAAGATTTTGAGGTGCAGCTGTACCAAACCGGTGTGATATCTTATGAGATATATTAGGGGCAACATTGTAAATCTGTGGTCTTACAAAAACCTAGTCCACTCCGATGAGCTATAGCTTTTTTTTACCTAGTGTTAAAAAAATCGAACTGATCTCAGAAACCGGCCAAAAAAACTGGTTAAGTCTTAGTTGGTCCAAATATTAAAAAATAAAGAAACAAAAAATAATTCAAAAAAAATATAAATAGTATATTTAAAAGCATGATTAAATAAAGCGCATCGTTAAAAAGTATTGAAAAATGGATTTTAAAAAAGGAAAATACTTTGATAGAGCTGCAGCCCTATCAAAATAAGTAAAACCTCACGTCATACCTTATCGAAAGTTGCAATTGATTAATTGAAAAACCTTTACATCGATCATCTCGGCTTGAACATTATAGTTGTGTAAATCAACAAATTAGATTTCAAACTATAAAAATAGTGTTCATTGTAATAAATTATTTAGACCGTACATTTCACTCTAAAAATAAGTGTTCATAGATCCGCAAGATGTGTAACATTTTTTTTAGTTTCAAAATTTATTGTCAATATTGAAAATTTATTTTAAAGCCCTCGTAGAGATTTCTATTGCCGAAAGTGCTCTCCAAACATGGATTCGAGTGAGACTTTATTTTGCTTTCATAAATCTTTAAGCCCTATAAAAACTTTATCCTCGATATGTGCCCAAGGATATTTTTTATATTTTAAAAAAAAAGAAAAAAAAAATATAAAAGGTAAGTATTCATGGCCCAAAAACTTTCCAATCCGTGTCAAAATGATAAAAAAAAAAAAATTCGAAATCACAATATAAACAAATCTCTTATTTTCGAAGATTTTATATATTTTTTATTTTAAAGAAAAAAATACCACTGGCCAAAATTGGATATGCCAGTGCCGGATTTCGGTTTGATCGGTGATGTCGGAGTTGTGCCTTCCGAATTTGCGAACACTCGTTCTAACATATATTTCCTATTTCCTATCTCTTTCCGTAGAAGAGGAACCGTAGGAAAAGGACATAGCCATGGCACCCACCTGGTCCTGGTTGAAGCTCGCCATGGTGCCGAAACACACGTATACCACGGAGCCCTCAGCTCGGCCCTTGAGCCACTCCTCAGCTCGAGCCAAACCCTCCCCCTCAGTGCCGGACTCTGCAAGCATGTGAAGCGGCCCGACCGCCCAGACACGCCCGGCCTGTTCAACTGGGCCCAGGTGCGAGAGAAACTCCCCCTCTGCATCGGCGAAGGTGTTGAGCACTCGGCCGTGGCTCTCGATATTCCACAGCCAACAGTCTCTCACTGAAGCCCAAGCCGGGTCGAGAGGTATCGATCTCTCTGCTCGCTTGTATCGCACAAAAAGTCCAGAAAGTTGGCCGAACTCGAAGGAGGGAGCAGATGGGACATCGGATATGGTGATGGTGGATGAGCTAGAAGTGGGTTCGATGGGTCCAGTGGGCTCAGTGGTAGGTTCGGGGGGGTTGTTGAGCCAAATTGAGTGGAATATAGAGGTGGCATAGGCACCGGAAGGGTAGAAGGTGAAGCGGGGGATGGAGAAGGAGCGAGCGAGTGGCTCTGTGAAGCCGAGGAACATGTCGGAGATGAGAGCAGTGGGGGGGGATGGGAGGTCGAGTATGAGGCGTCGAATGGGGTCTGAGAGGAGTGAGAGAGAGTGAATAATGGTATGGAGGTCAGGGGAGTGAGGGGCGGGGGCGGGGGCGGGGGCGGGGAGCGAGAGAAAGGAGATGGGTAGCAAGCGAGAAGATGCAGAAGCCATGAAGGCGGAGAGAGAGGGGAGGCAGGGGAGCACAAGGATCGTTATGTGTAGGCCGTGGGTCGCCAGGGCGGCCGCAAGGGAAAAGAGGGGCGTTGCGTGCCCGTGGTAAGGAGCCGGGAAGACGAGGACGTGTGGAAGCTCTTCGGATTGTGCTGCTGCTTGCTCTGGTTTGGGTTCCATTATACCCTCGGGCTTTAATCTCTCTACAACATATGGACTCTATATTTATACTAAACTCCCATCTCTCTTTCTCTCTACGGACATTTGAAGATTTCTCTGCTCTGCTGGGCCGCCAATGTTTCGTTTGTGCGTCCATGGCTCTGGCTCATCAATTGGGGAGGATTTTTTAGTTTTTTTTTTTTTTTTCCCATTATGTTACTAATTTGTTTGATGTCACACTTCACGTTAAAGATGTCATAGCTTTATAATAACAAAAAATATATAAAAAATAAAAATAAAAAAATATTCTAAATTATTGAGTACAACTAAATAAAGAAATTTATAGTACAATTTAATAAAGAAATTTATAGAAAAATCTTGCTTTATTTTCACTGCCATATGTTACTAATGTGCTTGATGTCGGCAGTTGAAATGTCGTACCCTTGTAATGAGTACAAAATAAAGATAGAAAAGTGTTCAAAATTGTTAAATACAACTTAAAAAAAAAATTAATAAAAAAAATCCTGCTTTATCTTCAAAATTTGGAATTTGCCTCATGTAATTCGTGTTTTATATTTAAGTCCCGACAGCATAAAATGTATTCAAATCTAAATCTAATCTCTTTGACTACTCGTTGGATTAAACAATAATTAAATAATCTTTTTAACCAGCAACCTTCCCACTTGCTCTCTCTCTCTCTCTACAAGTCCACCAAACACGAGTGCTAAGTCCTTTAATAACAGATTCCCCAACCCGTTAGCAAAGTACCAGTCATTGTTATACTCTTCTTCATTTTGTGTGTCCCCATTCTCCTTAAATGGGCCTAAAGCCATGTCAGATGATCTAAGAAGTATATGGCATCATACATGACGCCATGAAATTGCAGGTTCACCACACCAAGAGGTTTTGTTTTTTTATTAAAAATATCATTTAAATGGTCAAACTATCTTACAAAATCATTTAGCGATTGAATTGTCGATTTAACATTAGAACAAATACTTTACCGGATGTGCAGTAGGTATGAGACGGTAACATCAATTGTAGAAGGTAGTGGGATCATCTATTTTGTTAAATGGTATAGATTTGACATATATTTTTAAAAAGAGTCAAAATTTGACATGTTTTCCATCCAATTAAAATGGACAGAACATACCATTCAACCTTATTTCTACTAGTTGTTATCTTATTCGTACTTTTTTTTTTTTCCTACTTATAAGATTTATTTCACTCAGATAACTGGTCGAAAGATATTTGAAATTTCCAAGTCACCCTGCTCAACTTCTGGAACCATAAACAAGCAAAGGTATAATGTGGCCTACTTAAGTGGCACGTGCCAAATTATGTTAGTTGCCTTCTTGTTCGGACCCAAGAAGTAGAAACAAAAGGTCGTGCCAAAGAAATTTTTTTTTTTTTTTTGGACTAGTGTATGAAATTTTATTATTGAGATCAAGATTATAATGCACAACAAAAATTACATCATAAACAAAAACAGATAAAACATTTCTGGTCCTTTGATTTAATATCCATAACTTTCATTGAAACATGTAACAAATATTTCCTTTTTTTTTCTTTTTTTCTTTTTTATCTGGTCCTCCACTTCAAGGCTTCGGGTGACATGATAGTTTTCAAAACATCTTGGATTCCCAATGTGATCAATCTCAAAAGAAGAAAAAATCAACTTTGAAGCTCTAGATCTAATCGGATAAATCCCGTTAGAGTAAATAATATTTGATTTGAAGCATTGTTTAGGGATAACCATTTATTTTCATCACAGGGATGTCACAATTATTATTGTCCATTATATTTCAAATTGTGTATTGTGAATGCATCACATACTAGACATAGACTTCAAAAAAAAAATTATCGAACTTTGTGACACATCTCAAGCTCTTCAATTTTACATAATGGCTTGGAACAATTGTGATATCCTTGTAATAAATATAAATGATCATATATTATACAATCCCCATGCTTCAAATCTTTTTTGGTTTGAAAACAATCTCAGATTTTTTGGGATATTGGATCAAAAAGAACGCCCCAGTGTTTTGTTCATGGGACCAAATGTATAGTTCGCACGGCAGGCCCACCTAGCAAAACTGATGGAATTAATGAATTATGATTTCTATGGAGTAGCTGTTCAATACTTTTCAAGCTTACAGCAATAATCAGGGGCATTGCATACAATGGGAACAATTACCTCTCAAATATAAGGTTCCAAATACCTATCACCATCATTATTATGCCATGAGCCTTGTTCCAATTATTTACAATTATTTGCAATCGACTACGTGAATCACGTTTCATTATTCCGCTATATCAAAAGCCATACCCTCAAATTCCGCTATATCAAAAGCCATACCCTCAACAGACAAGGTCCCAAATAACCAAAGTCGTTAATTGGATCAACATGATTTCATTTTTCACAAACTATGAGAAAAATGTTTTCGGACTTCAAAACCAATGAATTTTCAGATCAATGTAATTCCAACTTATCTCCTCATTCATTATACTGTTGCTCAAGCATTTTTCCTTCTTATTGCAATTCTTTTAATGTGAGGGATGATGGTGTTGATGTCAAACAAAAGTTTATATAAAGTTGTGACCTTGCTTGTAGAATGTCTCAAAAATCCACACCATAGATGATGTAGATTTAACATTATCTTCAAAGATATCATCTCTTTTGACATTGTCTTAAAAAACGTATCAAATTTATATTTTTCAATTAAAATAGATGGTGTAAAACATTACAGCATTACTTGTACAAGTAAAATTGCCACCTTATATATATATACCGCACTCTAATGTCAAAACTTACACCCTAATATCAAAGGGTATTCAAGGCCACAAAAATTGGAAGATGGTTGGACATGCTATTATCTAAAACCCATCAAAGATTTTCATTTAGAAGAAAAAATAAAGAGACCTTTTGAAATAATAGGAGTCAATTTGTTAAACTCATTGCTCATTAAGAAGGTTAAAGGATATGCGCATCATGTAAGTCTTGGCTAAAACTGAGTTTTGGGGTGTCCCATGTCTCTATAGGTGACTGCTTCAGTAAGCAGTGGAGCTCATTTGTAGTTATCACTTAGTTTAGATCTCTGCCTACTTCCTTTAAGATCCCTTAAGCTTAACATTAATAGAACTTAAAGTAACTTGGTTCCCATAAGAATGCAGATCTACTTTGAAATAGCACAGGAAAAGTGACAGTCATTTATGGAACCATTGCGAAGCCGTGAATCCATTGTACCTAAGGCTAGAGCACTTCGAGTTTGGATTACTAATAATAATATGATTGGATGGGTGAGAACAGCATCCCTATGAGAGTTGCAACAATATACTGATGAAGAAAAAACAAACAGTTAATGGAGATTTGGGCCCTATCCTTTGGTGAGAATAGAGTTCAAGGACTTCATCATGGGGCTCAATGGCACTACCTTACTGCTAAGGCCCTAGCCCATTCTCATGATGTGTCTAATGTAATCATCCCGAATTTGCTTTTCGTAGGGGATAAAGAGGAAATAGTTGAGTTAAAATTGTTGTAGGATAAGAGAAGACAAGTGAGTTATAATTCTGGTATCCACTTAGCTGTTGAACTGTTCAAACTCCATTATTTCACAAATTCATACTTCACATTTTGGCTGGTCACAAAAATAGAGATGGTTAGTGAAGAGGATCAATCAATTGAACATTGATTCAAACTTACTTTGTCTTGAAAAGAAACAAACACTTGAGCAGGTTTTGATCGTTAAGCAGATAATTGGGCTTGAATATGTTTCCATACGTCTTTTCTAGCAGCCATGCATAGCAGAACAACGAGTGTGCACCATTGAATGGAGACTACCATGGCCACTACAAAATCAGGGTCAGAGATAAAATCTGCATTGTATATCTTCCCAACGTTCAAACCATATCATATACAATACCCACATTTACATATACTAGTAATAATGGATTTAAGAAAAAAGCAACTACTTCAAAGATAAAGCACATATATAATTTTACAAGTTCTTTGGGTTGTTAGATTGACTATAGATTGATTGCCAAATCTCTGTATCTTTCAGATTAGCTATTATAGCTGCATCCTACACATGCAGAAATTCTCCACAGCCCCTTCAGACGCTAGGCTTCAATTATCTAGACCAATCATACATGGGTGTATGCAAAGAAAGAGACAAACCCACGCACGCACACACTCGCACGTGCACACACACACACACACACAAACAGAGAGAGAAAGAGAGAGCAGACAATGATGCAACATTTCATTGATGCTATGACACATTACAAAAATTCAAGCATTCCAAAAGTGATAACTTCTATTCGGCATATAACAGGAATTACATGAAGATTTCCATGTAAAGAGGACAGCATACCTCCAGTAGGTTTTAATCCAAAACCACAGCATGGACAAAAACACTCCTATGTAAGTGCTATATCTCACACTAATCATTGTCACCGAACAAGTCGTCATCATCATCATAAGTTGAAATCGTATCCTGTTTTTTCTCAAATCCACCTGGAGACTTTCCTTCACTTTCCAAATTCAACCCATTTGGTCCTGATAGGTTTGCCCAAGAGGAACCCACTTTTCCTGCAAAAGAATCTCCATAGAGATCATCATAAATTCCAACTTTTGTAGCAGTTTTAACTTTGTTCAAAACTTGTTGTAACTTATCGGTTACCCCTTTAGACCCCCCATCCTTCGGAGAATGTGGCTCCTGACCTTTGGGTATCACAGTGACTTGTACAAGAGACTCGTACTTCCCCACAAGACTCCCTTCTTTCACACCAACAGGGCCTGGTTCAGTTCCAACATCTTGGCCATCAGATATCCCAACAACCTCCACCAAATTACCTCCAACTTGGTCCCTGAATGCCACTCTTGTTTTTCTAAGTCTCTTGCTAGATCTCTCCACTTTCTCACCGTCCTCCCTAGTGCTAGATGACTTAGAAGACAAACCTGGCTTGATTGCTCCATGGCGGTTTAGAATAGTATTATATGCTAATACTGCATCTTCATCTGAAGGGTCAGGAGGAGAAGGGGGAACAAATTCAGTGGCTAGTGAAGGGGTAGGGAAAAGCGCAGCCGTATTCTTTCTTAGAATATAACTTCTTGTTGATGCGGCAAAACGTAGGGATTGCCCTGCTTCTAGCTCAACTGGGTTATCCTTTGTTAGTCGTTCATTGGCAACAAAGGTACCATGTACTGAACCCAAATCAATGACATATATGCTGCAAACGAAACATAAAAAAGTTCTGGAATAGTCAAATGATCAAAAGCATGAAAATGCCATGCTAGAGAAATTGATTTACTTTAATGAAAGTAAAATTCAAGCTCACTCAACTTTGAATGCTATTTGAAAAAATAAAAATGAACGTCTACTTCTAAGTGTAATCATATTCATGTAACAGGTGCATTCATGAGATAATAACTTAAGCCTCGAACAAAGACAGATACCATTGAACATCATATTAACACGAGGAACTACAATCAGTATTACATTAACACGCCGAACTACATTTTAGTGGCTTCTACTTCTTAGGAACATCCAACATATCCTGTCAGGTCCTCTTCGTATAGACTCCACTTCTTTAATTGAGTCTCATGCACACACACACCATTTTGTACATGAAAGTATACTTGAAAATATATCGTTGAATTAATAAAAGACAGTTAACATTCAAGAAGTTATATTTTTCTCATCTGCTTTTTTTTTCTCCCAAACCAACAAAAAAGTAAAAGAAAATTTACAGCTCTGAATTGATACCATGCAAAAAGACCAAATTGTTTCATTGGAAGCAAGCAAATGCACAACACACAAGGAAAAAAATCTAACCCACTCAGCTTATGCTTGTCTCCGTATTTACCATGGTACACTTCCCCTGCTTCAGATGCACCCTGAGAGCAGAAGCAGTTCTGGATCTGATCACACTCCTTAAAGTCAGTCTTCATGTAAATTAGGCAGGCCTGGTGCCCTAATGGCAAAGGTCCTTCTTGGTGAAAACTTCTGCCTGGCCCTTACTCAAACTGCTATTGGGCTGAGAAACTCAAGGAAGGTTTTTCCTTTCTTTCTTTTTTTCTTCCACTTTTTTCCTCTTTTTCTTTTTTTTTTTGTTGTGTGTGTGTGGGTGGGGGAGGGTTGGGGTTCGGTGGCGCTGCCTCCACCAAAGATATAAGCTTTTAACTGGTTAGCTAATTAGAAAAGGTCCTGACACTAGACCACCTTCAACAGCATGAAATCCCAACACCAAAAGGATGAATCATGTGCAAGGAAGATGCTGAAATTGTCTCATGCTTGTTCATTCATTATGGAGTTGCCTCAGCCATTTGGTCCTTCTTCTTCTTCCTTCATAAGGCCTGGCCTAACCCTTTGTTATCCTTGGAAGCTTTTGGGGTCTATGGTTGGAGACAACAGGAAGACATTCTTGAGCAGAATATCCCAACTCTCAATACCAAAACATAGAAACAAGCTGCAGATTTGCACATGGGCTCTCATCAGGAAAGAGTTCTGGCTCTCAGGACCAATCGGAATTTGTGATGCCAACGAAGCAGAAGCAATGGCATGGTGGGTATTTGCTTCTCCAACCTGATTAGGGCCCATTGTTATCAAAGGTGATTCCATAAAAACGCAAAGCCATGGGCTCAGGGCTGCTACGGCTTCGCACGGAGCTTTGCCAATATCTCCTCTGAAAGAGTTTGCTTAAGAAAAGAATCGCGTCCAATCACACATGGACAGAAGCTAGCCTTTAGCACAATCCATAGCCAAAAAGGGGACCCAAATGCCGCAGTTAGTCATTGTCCACTCAGAATGACTTGCAAAGCCTCAAGAATAGAAGTGATATACAATTTCATTTCAGTTTTGTACTACATCCCATACAATTACACTTACAAACCTCTTGTTTTCTGGTTAAATTAAATACAAGTTAATAATAAAAAATAAACAACAATTAGATGCCAAAATCAGATAGTTTGCACCTAAATGATGACTTTTTTTACCAAAGATATCTTTTAATATAATCAGATTCATGCTTGCGCATTATGCTACTCTGAATGGTATCTAGCCGCCATGGGCTATTAATACGAAACATTTCCAAGATGATAAGTTGTTCCAAAATACTTGAAGTAGCCTCACTATGCTTGACGCATGAAAGCTGAGAAATTTGTTTTATCTTTTGCACCCCAAAATTTCACATGTCATCAAATGTTTTCTCTTTATCTTATTTCTAATGTAACCAATCAAGAAGGCATATACCCTTGAACAGTCAATTACCAAATCTTAAAGCAAAACAAATAGCATTCGAAGGTGCCAGACAACATCATTCAGTTTTCCCTTTCTTTCCATTATTGACTCATTGTAATATTCCCATCATTACACCACTTGTACTATCTGATGATAGAAATAGTACTCTCAATAAAGGAGAAAATTAATTCCACAACTCTAAGTTAAAACCAAGATAATTTTTTATTGCAGACTTTTCAAATGGCAATACTTAAACCTCCCCCTATGAACTCAAAGTCGAGAAACTAACCAAAGTAACCACATTCACCTACCAACATCACGAAAGTCAAATACATCAGAGATGAATCAACTACACAAATAACGAGAGAGAAATAAAAATTTAATTGAATGTACAAACCTCCCATTCTTGTGAGGCACTACCGCAGCATGCTGCCGAGAAACGGAGGGGTGATCAAGCACAAAATCACAAGAAGCATACTGCCTTCCAAAAATGTGGCGCCTCTTATCAAGACTGATTTTGTCGAGAATTTCTCCATCCTTCATAACCTCAAGATAATAAACACCAGGCCTCGGCTCAATTGCCCAATCAGGGGGCTGCCAATTTGATTGCCCACCCCCCACAGAAGTAACTTGGGCACCCTCTGACCCATTAGGTTTTGGACGTACATTTTGTTGCTGGTTTTGAGATTGGGATTGTGAAACTTGGGGTTTAGAAGAACTAATCAGAGGTTGAGTTGCTGGCTTAGTAACTGAATTATTTAACGTAACAGAAAAGGGTTCAATAGTTTGGGCTTTTTTGAACCTATCTAGGCCTGTTCTCCCATACATTTTATAGAATGTAATTTTAGGTGGAAAATGCACCTCTATCTGCTACTCTAGACCAACCCCAGATGCAAACTTATCTTATTCAACCAACTTTATCAGGGAACAGAGAAGTGTTTAATAAATTGTAGGCATGCTCTTCTACATATTCTCTAGTATTTAACTTTTGGGGGAAACTCCATCTCTAATTCCGAAAATATAAACAAACCCAAAATGGAATTTCATCATACTCCAACAAAAACCAAAATACAGGTTTTTGGATGGTGGGAATTTTGAAGCTGATGCATAATCTCTCAGCCTGCAACATGAGTGCATCAAGGAAATGACTTTAAGCCAGGAAAAACAAAGACTTCATATGGAAATGAACAATGAAACCAGAATACGAAATATTCGTGATTCTTGAAATAACTAGGCAAATGCTAAAGTAAAATAGCACATAACAGAGAAACACACACACAAACACACAGAGGTTAAAACAAAATTTCATCTGGGGTAATCTAATATTCAACGAGCAAAAATACCCTAAAAATCAACAAGGGAAGGTAAGAGGAAAATAGAAGAAGCAAAAAAAGGGGGGGCTTTTGAAAGGTCCCAATGCTATCAACCCATAACAGACGAAGGAATTAAAACCCTAGATCTACCTTACCAAATTTTTCTGCAAATTATTCCAACAAAAATAAAAATTTGAATAAGTGCAAGGATCAAAGACAAGAACTAGAGAGGCATCAAAAAAAGGAAGATTTAATCGATAAGAAATTCATCAAGAGAACCGCAAAGAGCCACAGAGTTAAAGGAAAAATGATGCAGTGAGAGAAAGAACGCACCTCGATACAGCAGACCTGTTAAGTTAACTGGTTTCAGAGAGGAAGACGCAGGTTTTTGCATTAAATGAGCAATAATACAAAAATGAGAGAGAGAGAGAGAGAGAGAGAATGGGATACAGATGATAAAACCATCAGAGGGAGAAATGGGAAATAAGGGAAATCAATAGGGGCTCAGATAGCATACTGAATACACGAGCGAGTGAGAGGGGAAATCCATGGAGGCCTAAATAACTGATAAAATAAGAGTGAGAGATTGTGTGTGTGCGTGTGCGTGACTTTGTGATAGCGGAGATAAATACAATATGAAGGTGAAAAAAAATAAAGGGAAAATATACCCTGAGACAATTTACATTTTCCTATCTTGACCATTCGTTGTAAAGTTGAGTGATTGTATATATTTCAATTGAGTGGTTGTATATATTTCATTGATCAATTTTGAAGTTCAAAAAAAAATTTCTAGCTCATCCAAGCTATGAGATTCATATTGGATGGTTGTAATTTATAAGTAATTGTGACATGGGAAAAGGTTTGAGTCGTGGTAGTAGCACCTTACACTCTAGTCACCACGTTGTGTTTCCATTGTCATCGCTAACACCACTTCACTAATACCTTCAAAAAAACCAAACTCCTAATCTACTTAAAACAAACATGTAGAAGCATATCTTCCCCATTGAAATTACCCAAAAAAAAAAAAAAACAAAACAAAAAAAGAGAGAGGTCACTGTGACATTCTTCTACTAAAGATAAACCCACTAATACCTTAAAATGTATAAATACATATGCACCTCAAAAATCCACCGGAGAAAGTTGCTTTAACGTTGAAAAACCCTCCGGTTGATCATCTCAACATAGAGATGTATGAATATTACAATATATATATATATTGAGTCCCGGAAATAATGCACTTACAACACATTATCTAGACCGTCCATTTTCAAGATTTTTATATGTTTATAGATCTACTTGATTTTAGCCATTTTTGAAGCTTAAAATTTTATAAGATAATCTTGATAATGTTTTGCACCAAAATTATATGTTAGGATAAAATTTGGAGGTACACCTTAATTGGATTGTTCAAGGTTGCAAAAACCACACTCACCCTTCAAATAAATTTTGTTATATTTTGTTAAATTTGTGTAATTAGTTATTTACTTGGTCTCTAAAATAAAATGCATTAATAAGAAACGAAAAAAGTTTATATAAGGTTGCAACCTTAAAATATAAAATTAAGGTGTACCTTAAAAATCTATCATAAAAAGTTATTTTAATATTAAAAAATACTCTAATTGATCATATGTATGAGAAAAAAAAAAATTTGAGTCTCAAAATAGTGTATCTTGCCACACATTAACTAAACTGTCCATTTTCAAAATGTGTTTATAGGTCTACTTGTATGAAACAGATTTTGAAGTTTAAAATTTTATAATTAGATATGAAAATAGATTTTGAGCCATCGTAAGAATTGTTCACACCAAAAATTACATTTATGGAATGTTTAAAAAGAAAAAAAGAGCCCCTCACTTTGTGTTAAGCTTTTGGAAGCACTTCACAAGGCATAGGAAACCAATAGCCAGAAAGAGAATTGAAAAGGCATGGGGGGTTCTCTGGATGTATTTATTATTTTGATAAAATGATTAAACATATGTTCTTAAATAATTTACAAGCAATTTTATATCTAAGTTTATTTTTTTGAAAAAAAATTATTTTGGTGAATGACAACTTATCCAAGAATAATAAAATTTAGCTAAAAATCCCCAAAAAAAAAATTAAATAATTAAATAAAATACAATATACGTACCAAAAAGCTGACGAAATAATATTATGAAAAGCATATTAATTTCAGATAAGATATATTGCTCCTAATGAGATTAACCTTCATTTAAACAAGGCTATAGAGAGGGGTTATAGCTTTTAGCTAGATAACTAGGGTGTAAATGCTCTTAACCAATGGTTTAAAAAACAGATCGGTGATCCGGATCGGGCTTCCAAAAAACAGATCCGGATCGGAGAATCAACGATCCGGATCGGAAATCGGATGAATCGGTCAGAATAAAGCTTAAAAACAATCCGAAAAAATTATTAAAATTCATTATAAATATTATTTTTTAGGAATTCAATAAGAAATGAGGGTACTCCATTAAGAATTTTCATATTTTTGAATGAATATGCGAATATTGATATGTTCTTTCCCTGCATGAACAGCCATTCAGCATTTAATTTACATCACACAAAAGGATAAACATATAATTATCATGGAATAAGTATATCAACATACATGAACTACAATAAAGCATAAAATTAGTAACATATGATCTAAAAATAAAATGATAGACGACGTTATTGTTCTTCTTGGTCACGCTGGTGCCATTGATTGAATTCGTTTAACAATTCATTGATTCGATCTAAAAACGAATCATCGATATTAGCAGGCGTCTGACTATTTCCAAATCCCTGAGTGTTAGTGTTTTGTTGTGTTCCCAATCTAAAATCCCTGAAGATTGTTCATCCTTCATGGTCACTTGCATTGTCGTGCTCATCCCTACACTATTGTTGTTGAGACTCGATATGTGAATAATATGGCTGGGATAGGGTGGCCTCAGAATCATCATCTCTTTCATTTTCTCTTTGAATAATATGGATTAAAAAAAAATAACAAATTTTC